GCTGGATCCTATAGTAAGAGTATGTTTAGTTTTGTGAGAAACCGGCACCAAGCCGTCCTCCTAAGTGGCTGCGCCATCTGCGTTCCCACCAGCGTGCGGGAGGCTCCTGCAGCTCCGCGTCGCCCCAGCACCGGGCGTGGTCATGGGTCGCGGTGGCTCTTTGTGGTTGTAGTTTGCATTTCCCTGATGACATATGCGTGGAGCATCCTTTCATGTGCTTACCTCTTCTTTGGTGAAGTATCTGTTATGGTCTTTGGCCATTTTTATTTTTATTTGTTTATTACTATTTTTTAATCATTACCCAAGGATATTTTTTCCATTGATTTTTAGAGAGTGGAAGGGAGGGAGGGAAGGGAGGCAGAGAGAGAGAGGGAAACATCCTTGTGAGAGGGACACATCGGTCCCCTGCATGTGCCCCTACCTGGGCCAGGGATTGAACCTGCAACCGAGGCACGTGCCCTTGACTGGGACTCAAACCTGTTGACCCTTCAGTCAGTGGGCGGACCCTCTACCCACTGAGCCAAACTGGCCAGGGTGTCTTTGGCCAGATTTAATAAACTGGTTACTTTTTTTTTATTGTTCAGGTTTAAGAGTTCTTTGTATAATTTGGATAACAGTCCTTTACAGACATGTCTTCTGTAAACATTTTCTCCTGGCCTGTAGCTTCTCTTCTCAGTCTCTTGACTGTGCCTTTTGCAGAGCTGGGAATTTTGTTTGAACGAAGTCCAGGTTATCTGTTTCCTTCATGGATCGTGTCTTTGGTTTGAACCTAAACAGTCTTCACTGTACCCAAGGTCACCCAGGTTTTCCCTTGTTATCTTATGGGGCTTTTATAGTGTTTTGCATTTCACACTTAGATCTGTAATCCACTTTGAGTTAATCTGTGAAAGGTGTAAGATCTGAGTGTGGGCCACCGTGTTGCGCGTGGGTGTCCAGTGCTTCCGGGAGCATTTGTCGAGGGGGCGGTTCTCCCTCCATCCCTCCGCCTCCGCTCCATTGTCAAAGACCATTCACCGTGCTCACGTGGGTCAGTTTCTGGGCTTTCTCATCTGTTCCGGTGATCTCTTGACTAGTCTCTCACCAATACTACCTGTTTTGATCACTGCAGCTTACATAGGACTGTATGAATCATCCTTAATTCTTTGCTTTGTTGCCCTTTATAAACATTTTATCACAAGTGACTGGACTGGGTCTGGACTTGCTCGGATTGTGTTCTGGCTCTTACCCCTGAGCTTGCTCCTCTCGGTTTCCTGGACACGCGTTTTGAATAAAGAGGTAAAGACCGTGAGTGTGCAAACGTGTTTGAATTATAATGAGAAAGCTATAAAAATGTCTAGTAGAGACACCTTAATTCCAAATGGGTGTCTTGGTCACTTTAAATATTCTTGGGCACATTTTAGTGCTGCTTCCTCATGGTTGTAAAACTCACTGTGCAGACCTGCCATCCGTTATTTTACGAGTTAATTTTAATTTCACTTAATCTGTACGTGTACGTTTTATGAAAAGTGAAGTGGTTGTAAGAGGCTTTGATGAAGAGCAGTCGGCACTGCACCC